TCATCATTTTCGCCTTCATGAACAAACTGAACCACAACTGAGCACAGGAGGCGTGACCAAGAAATTTAAAGGAATGCACACTTAGTCTCTAGGTAATAGACAGTGATTAACCACGTTTTGGATTCTCCAGCAGTGCGCATAGAAGGGACGTTCAGGTAAGTCAACGTCCATTTTAGTTTCAACAGAACAGCACCATAGTGAACAATAGGTTTGCTTAATGACCATGATATTCATATAAAAACCATCACAAAGGTGGTAAAATTGGGTTGGTCACATGACTGGCCTGATTTACAAACTTCATGGTATATGACTGTAATAAGCAGGCTCCATTAGGTTGAGGGTTACTTTATCTTTCTTTATCTTTATCTTTATTCAAATTTCTATACCGCCCTTCTCCTTTCGGACTCAGGGCGGTGAACAGCCAAAAAATAAAACATTTTATATACAAAACTTAAAATAAATTTAAAATAATTAAATAAATTTGGCCCATTAATTTAAAACATTCCAATTAAAACCATATCAAAATTATTTAAAACCAATCATAAAATCAGGACAGCCCGGCTAACTGAAAAAAATAGGTTTTGAGAGCCCGACGAAAAGTCCGGAGGTCTGGGATTACTCGTATCTCTGGGGGTAGATTGTTCCAGAGGGTGGGTGCTACCACAGAGAAGGCTCTCCCCCTGGGGGTTGCCAGCCGACATTGCCTGGCCGACGGCACCCTGAGGAGGCCCTCTCTGTGGGAGCGAATTGGCCGGTGGGAGGCAATTGGTGGCAAGAGGCGGTCCCGTAGATACCCCGGCCCTAAGCCATGGAGCACTTTAAAGGTGATCACCAACACCTTGAAGCGCACCCGGAAGTCCACCGGGAACCAATGTAGCTCGCGCAGGAGAGGAGTCACATGGGAGCGCCCCGTCGCTCCCATAATCCCCCGCACAGCCGCATTCTGCACCAGTTGGAGCCTCCGGGTGCACCCCAAGGGGAGCCCTATGTAGAGAGCGTTACAATAGTCCAGACGAGAGGTGACGAGTGCCTGAGTGACCGTGCGTAGGGAGTCCCGATCCAGAAAGGGGCGCAACTGGCGTATCAGGCGAACCTGATAGAAGGCCCCCCTGGCCACGGCCGCTGTATGCCCTTCTAAAGACAGCCGTGCGTCCAGGAGGACACCCAAGTTGCGAGCCCTTTTCGTGGGGGCCAATGATTCGCCCCCAATAACCAGCGATGGCGCCAGCCGGCTATACTGGGACGCCAGCAGCCACAGCCACTTGGTCTTGGAAGGGTTGAGTCGGAGCCTGTTTCTCCCCATCCAGACCCGCACGGCTTCCAAACACTGGGACATCACTTCCAAGGCATCGTTGGGATTGTCTGGGGTGGAGATGTACAGCTGAGTATCATCAGCGTACTGATGGAACTCCACCCCAAAACCACGGATGATCTCACCCAGCGGCTTCACATAAATGTTGAACAGGAGGGGTGAGAGGATCGACCCTTGTGGCACCCCACAAACAAGGCGCCTCGGGGTCGACCGCTGCCCCCCTGTCAACATAGATTGCGACCGGTCGGAGAGATAGGAGAACCACCGCAAAACGGTGCCCCCCACTCCCAGTCCCTCCAGCCGGCGCAACATGATACCATGGTCGATGGTATCAAAAGCCACTGAGAGATCTAACAGGACCAGGATAGAGGAATAACCCCTACCCCGAGCCCTCCAGAGATCATCCACCAACGCGACCAATGCCGTTTCCGTGCTGTACCCAGGCCTGAAACCAGACTGGAGCGAATCCAAATAGACAGCTTCATCCAGGTACTGGGGAAGCTGTCGTGTAGTTAAAATTAGTTCAGGTGCTAATTTTAGCATGTTCAAAGAACATTTACACTGATTTTTATTTGTATATCTTTATTTATTCAGTAATAATAATTACTGAAAATTGTTTAAAAGCCTGGTATGCCTAGATTATGCTCTGCAAAGAATAAGCAAAAACAATCCTATTTACCTAGCACAAGCACACAGTGATTTTTCAATATTCAAAGAAATGGAATAGGAAACATGTTAGATATCTTCTAATGTGACAAGCTATTAACTAAATCTGATTCTCCTTCATTGTGAGTTTGAAGGTATATATGAGAACAAGGGACTTGAGGACATTCTTTCTCCCTCCCACCCACCTGTCCACTTGCCTGCCTTTGAGTCAGTATTGATTCCAAGCAAATGCCTGGACAAATCTCTGCAGGTTTTTTTGGCAGCATTTTTGAAATGTTGTCTTCCTCTGAGTAAGAAAAAGTGAACGACTCACCTGGCTTTGCATCTTAAGACAGGACTAGAATTCATAGTCTCCTGAATTCTACCTTGGTGCCTTTAAACAACTACACAAAACCAATTCTATTATGGTTCATGTTGTCCAAAATTTTGTGAAAGAGAAAAACCCTATTTTGCTTCTCCCTATTTTCTAATTCTTACCAGTAAATTACATTAACAGAAGCATCCTATTTTTTAAATTACTTAAATGGGATTTGGAAAACAGCTGGCATATTAATGTTTAGTGTTGGAGTGTGGCTCAGGATGGGATCCAATACAAAAATACATACAGTCTATAATGGAATCAAGTGAGCGAGTTTATTTTGGAAGCTTTGATACCTATACTAATGAAGTGATGTGATACAATATACATGCAAAAGTATTAGAATCAAAACTAGTATATGTTTCTATGTATGTACAAAATAGGATAAGAAATATAAGAAATCAAGTCTTATTTAATTTTTTCTCCCTCTCAAATCTCTTTTGCTCACTTTCTACTTATAATTTATAATGGCTTCTTCTCTCTCTCCTGAATGTCTATTGACTTTTCTCCTGGATGTCTTTCTGCCAAACAAAGTCTTTAACTCACTCAAAGTTCTATTATTCAACATCTGAATCACCGTACACATAATATAGTCTACTTTCCTGGTGTTTCTGTACTCTCATAAGCTGCAGGCTTCTCCTCCTCTCTTCATCCCAGAGCTAGACTCTCTAGACTTGACAGACAGGGTTCTTCTTCCACTCCACATTAGCTAAGTAATGTTCCCTCCATCAGAATGTCCTGCAGTATCTGAAATATAAAACCCAATTTTTCTGCTCTTCTTTTTTATATTTTTTATAGCTAAACTGTGTACATGCCACTTTACAGTGCATTGTCTCCTTTATCATCATTGTCTCTTTTCCTCCCTATGTGTTCTTGGTCTTGTGCTTCCTCCCACTCCACCCAAAAATTCATGACCTTGGCAGTTTTCTCCAGCTAGGCACTTCACCCTGTTGCAGTGATAAGATTCCAGGCTAATATGATATGCCTAATTATTTTATATTCTACTATTTTACCTCAACTATGACTGACATCTGCAGACATACATAACTAAGTATACCAACAAATAACCCAAACTTGCAAAGGTGAAATCAGGAAAGCTAAGACTCAGAATGAAGGGAGTCTTGCAACAAATGTCAATAATAATGATGATGATGATGTTTCTTTCAACATATAAAAACAAAAAACGTTAAAGAAACAATTGGTCCACTAATGCAAGAAAATGTCAGGGAAGTAACGGGCAGTAGAGAGAAATCATTGCTGCTTAATTCATTATTTGCATCTGTCTTCATGCAAAAATAAAATAGTCCACAATTTGTAATCAATAATTATTCCAAGATCTTTTCCACAAATGTTATTTAGAATGTATGTATTCCTCTCCCATCCCCAACCCTGTATTGATGTATTTGATTTTAGCAAGGAAATGTTTTGTCTGTGTGGAATTCTAGCCTGTTTCTCTTGTGGGATTGTTTTCATCTTTTTCTTGTTCTAGGTATTAACTATCTGCTGCTATTAACAATTTTCTAATCTACACACTTGATAAACATTCCCTTCATGTATTTATCCAAAGTATTAAGAAAAACATTAATTAGAGGATCTAGGATTAGTAACTGCAATGCCCTGTTCAAAAGAATTCTCCAATGAGAACGTGGATATAATTTTTCAAGCCGTCCAGTCCATAGGCTGCTAATTAACTTGCCTCATAGGTACCTTATCAAATGCCTAGCTGAAATCTGGATATATTGTGTCTACAGCATTCATAGAATCAGTTACAAATTTTATGTCATTATAAAGAGATAAAATCATTCCTCCAAGGTGTTTAGATAAAGTTTTCTTTATATTTTTTCCTCTTTTTTTTTTTTTTTTTTTTTTAAAATAGGGTTTTTTTTTTTTTTTTTCTTTTTTTTTTTTTTTTTTTTTTGAAAATAGGGGGATATTTGCTTTTCAGTCATCTGGTACTTTAACAGTTTTCAGGATTTCATATACCTTGAGTTCTAACTGCAGTTGGGACTAGAATTGCTGTCACTAATTACGTGGTTATAAAGCATGATGTCATGTGATCATAGCAATGGCAGTCCAGGCAGCCCTAGTTGTTGTAATTCCAGACGTGCAGGTTCAAAAGCGAAAGCATCTCAGGTAAAGAATGTGGAGGTGCCACAGGGAAGTGGGGGAGTTTCTGGAAGGCCCAGTGGATACTACACATGAGTTGGGGAGGAGGTGCTGCAATGTGGTGCAAGCTCAGAAAAGAAAAGGTCAAGGTCAGGAAAAGGTGAAAGAGGGAAAGAGTGTGGGAGCATAGGGATGCTGAGGAAAGATAATGTGGGATACATGTCTGTGTGCAAGCAAGCAATGGGAAATTGGGGAAAGAAGATGTGGGATGTGTGCAAGTGCAGGGCAGCCAGGGAAAGAGGGCATGTGGTGCATGCATATATGTGAACACAGGGAGGCCAGAAAAAGAGAGTGCAGTTGTGTGTATGTGTGCAAAGCGACTGAGGAAAAAGAGCATAGGGTGTGTGAATATCAAAGCAAGGAGGCTGGGAAAAAAGACTTGTGGGGTGTGTGCAAGTGCAGATAGGCCAGAGAATGAGGGCATGGGGTGCTTGTTTGTGTTCCAGCGCAGGGAGTTACATGTATTCTATTAGTTTAATGTGCATTTCTTTTATGTAGCTTTCCAGTGATGAAGCTGTTCAGAAAATACTTGCTGAAGAAAAAACTATTAAAGAAAAGACACTATCTTCATCTAAATCTCAAAACACAGAATCTAAAACAGAAGAATGTAGATATCATAAAGAGGTAATTTAAACAACCTATTTATTAAAAAAAAATAAACATATAGGGCTCTATATATTGATTAAAAAAACCAGGGAAATTGTTTTGTTTCTTTATTTACTGGATTTCTGTGCTGATTCAGTCATAAAAGAAGCTAAGTGATAACTGAGTAAACTCAGGTTAAAACAAAATACATAAGAAATATAAAGATGGTCCTTGATTTACAACAATAGTCGAGCCCAGAATTATGACTTTAAATTGTGGCGGTCATTAAGCAAAACATTGATGTAGTCATCTCATTGAACGACCACAATCCCTGATCTCCTGGTTGTCATTAAGCAGAGCCTGGAATTCCTTGGGGTGAGGAAAGCCCTGGGAAGCCTCCCTAGTTCACATATGGCCTACCTTGAGCCTCCTAAGACCTCCTCCATCCTGTGAGGAACCCCATGTTCTGTTTCCTGCACTGTTGGATCTCACAATCTTGGTTCTCCTTCCCTCACATTACCTCTCAGTCCACTTAATGTTTCCAAAGGTTGCCTTTCAGAAAGAGAAGAGTCACTATTAGGGAATTCTTGGATTGAGAGAATTGTAGCCACTTTTGGGATGGCACCATGGGTCCTCTGTATAGAAAGGCCATAAAGACAGATTGGCCAGTTCTACCCAAAGGTAATCTTTAGAAAAGGTAAGTGAAGTGAGGCATGTGGGAGAGGCAAGCCCAAGGATTGTGGGACCCAGCCAGGTGGGAGATAGGTCCAAGCAGGGATAGGGGAAGATGGGTGGGAGCCGCTGTAACATCTCTATGTCACTCGTAAAGATGGGTGAATTGCCAAGTGCCAATATTTTGTTCATGGGATCTTGGGGGCATTGCAGCAGCCATAATTTTGGATACAGGTCATAAGTCCCTTCATTCAGCACTATTGTAATTTTGTTTTGTTTTGTTTTGTTTTAAGTTTTTTTTTTACACAAACAAACAAACACACAATGTATTTTTTCTGAACAGAGTATTTGCTGGTTCACAAATTTAAACAGTTTTTAGTCATTTCAACTAAATTTACAATTTATATATTCCCTTTTTGCCATAATATTTATTCTTTCTGTTTTTTTTAAACTAATATTACCCTTCATCCTAACCTCTAATCTTAACCAAATTCAATTTTTCCCTATATTAAATCCCTTAAATTTAAAATCTCACAAATATAATTCCTAGTATTCCCTTATATTCCTTTAATATAATCACTAATGTTTACCATTATCAGCTGTTTCAATATCCAACATCTTAATACAAATCAATTAATTATGTGATGTTACAGTCATTAATTTCTTATAAAAATAATAAACCCAATTTTTTTATACCATACGTTTCTTTAAATCTTATTCTAAATAATACAATCCAACATATTACTAAAAATCAGTTAATTATATAGCCAACTTTTCTCTTTATATAATAATAATAAACCAAAAAACTTTCTACCGTATAATTTCTTGAATCTTATCTCTGATTTTCAATTATTTTATCAAGCATATAGGTAACAGTAACAGTAACATAGTTGGAAGGGACCTTGGAGGTCATCTAGTCCAACCCCCTGCTCATGCAGGAGACCTGTACTAGGGATTCGAACCGTCAAACTGCTGACCTTTCTGATCGACAAGCTCAGTGTCTTAGCCACTGAGCCACCTCTTCAAACAACACCTTAAGCATTTCTGCTTTCACCACAATCTAATTAGTTCATAATACAATATCATTTCAATTTTTCCCTTCTTTGATTAGGTTCCAAATATGCAACTAAGAATATTCCAATTGTTAACAATTTCCATAATTTTAGTTAAAAATATTCCAACTATTACATATTTCTAAAAATTATTTCAATTCATCAATTCATATTTCAATTTTAATTATATGTAACATATTCCTCTTTCATTTTTTTCTCCCTTTCCCCCTTTCTTTTTTATTTTTTTTATTTTTCTTTCCCCTTCTTTTCTTTTGTATTTTAAAATCTTGAACTCTCCTGTTTTGCCCTGTATTTCCCATTATTTTCCATCTCTTTCCCCTTTTTCTTACTTTTCCACTGTTAATCCCAGTGTAATCATTTTGTGTTTCAAAGTCATGGACTCTTCTATTTTGCCCTGTATTTCCTGTTGTTTTCCATCCCTTCTCCCTCTTTTCTGTCTTTCCACTGTTAATCCCAGTGTAATCAAGTCTTTCTATTCCACCCTTTCTTCCCTCTTTCCACCCTTTCTATTTTTCTCATTGTTAATCCCAATCTTTAAAATTCTCCTTTTTATTGTTACTACCCACATAATCATTTAGTTTTCCATAATCAATCTCATTGTCTTTGTCTTCTTTATTTTCAATCTCTGTGTCTTGCTTCTCATTCATTATTTCCTTGTCAGCTTGAGTATACTCAAAAACACAATTTTTGGATCATCAAGTTTCGGTTCTCCATGCAACATTGTAATTATTTCCCTTACTTCTGTTTTCAGTGACAAATACATCATTTTCATCATTTCTCTTATTTCCTGCGCCATTTTATTCTTTCTGGATTAATATTGTTCCAATTAAAAATTTCGTTGTATTCCTCTTTTTTTAATAATCAAAGTCAAGCTGCTCGCAGACAAGCAAATCCTCCTTAGAAGTTCTCACGTCTGTTATCACCATCAAAGTTCAAGTTTTTTTCTGTAACAAAAGTTCAGTATTGTAATAATCTTATTTCTCCTGTAGATGTCTCTCTATAATCCACAATTCCAATCAGTAGCCTGAAAAGGTATCCATTTTGTTTGCAATCCACATTAACAGTCTTTGCTATTTTTTTTTCTTATCTTTATATATGCCAAATCAGTTTTAAAGTCCAATCCAAATTACACAGTCCGTTTTTCCCCTCTTTTTTTTTGATACAAAACTTCTATTACAGGGCTTAATTTCCAATTTCTCTTTAGTTTTTCTCCAACATTCAAAAAAATATCTGCTTACTTTTTTTCCAATCCTTTATACAGTTATGGGGTTTTATTTCTTCTAATTTTTAAAGTTCTCCAAATATTTTTATCCAAAAGTCAATTTTCTTTTTGGGTTTTATCAATTTAAATTTCCGTTTTAATCTTCTTCCTTCCTTTCCCATGCCCATTAGCCGCTGTTATTCCCCTGGGGCTCTTTCAAATTTAAAAGTCTTTTTTTTTTTTGCCTATGAGTTGGCTGTCACTCACCCGGCTCAAAACTCGGTTCAGGTCACTGCACCTGCTCAATGCTTAGCCCAGTTGCTCCAGCTTCTTGGCAGCCACAATGGCCGCCGCTGCCGAGTCGGAGAGAGTTTCCTCTGACCTTCAAGGAACTTGCCTGTTCCTCTTGGTCTTCCGAGGTGCCTCTCCTTCTTCCCTGTCCCTATGAGACGGTTCCGGTCTGAAGACCCCTTGGCAGCGGCTTGGCAGTCCGGGTTTTTGCGGAGCTCGTCGGAGCCCACTCTTTCCCCGACTGTCTTGCCGCGACGCTTCCGATTTTTCCCGCTATTGTAATTTTGAATGATCACTGAATGAATTATTATAAGTGAAGGACTACCTATAAATCAAAGCAATCTTCAGGTTATGACCACCATTCAAAGTTATGAGGGGGATTTAAGTCTAGCCTGCAAAGTTGCAGCTGTTGCAGTAGCTCTGCAATCACATAATTGTAATTCGGGCACTTGGTAACTAGTTTGTAATTACAATGTTGCAGTGTCCTGCAATCATATGATTGCCATTTGCAACCTTCCCTGCTTGGCTTCCCACAGCCAAAATCTCACAAAAACTCGCATCGCTTTTTCACCTGCTCTTGTACACATTCCATAGCTCCTGCTCATGACACCCACCTGCAGCACCTGTGCATCTATCTGCACAACTGCCTGCACTCTAATGCCTGCCCATGGTACCCATTTACCCACCTGTGTTTCATAGCACCCACTTGTGGCACTCAATTACCTGTCCATATTCCATACTGCCTGGTTGGAGCACACATCAAGCTGTTCATTTTCTGTAACATCTTCCTGTGGTAGCCTCCCTTCCACCACTCTCATCTGCAGCTTTCACCCACTGGCCTGCTTATTTGAGACTCCCGCCTCTTCCCAATTAATAACTGATGCAGTCCTGAGATTACACTAACAACCAAGAATGCTTGGATTGCTGTCACGAAGCAATACAGTCATGTGATGTCACATTTTACAATCACTTATTAACAGAAATTATGGTCAAGAACTACCTTATAGTGAATCCCAAATCTATCCTAATCCATAAAGGGTTTTAAGGATGATTACTCACATTTTGAATTGCTCAAACATTTTGTATGTAATTTAATATTTTGTATTTTATTATTTAGGGAAGAAGTGACTCTGGAATAAAGGACAAAAGCACAATTCAGGACCAAAAAGACAAAGAAGAATTGAAAGAGGAAGAAAGCAAGCAAAGAGAAAGTGAAAAATATAAAGATGATGAAAATTATCCCAATAATTTTGATAAAACTGTTAATGAAAGTGAAAAACATGAAAAAGAGAGAATCAAAAATAGATTATCCAAATCAGGAAGAGAGCCAGAGAAAATTAGAGACAAAGAAAAAGGAGAAGGGGAAGGAGAAAAAGAAGAATGTGATAAAGACATAGACAAGGAAAGGAAACAATATGAGGGAGGAAGAGAAAAAGAGAGATTAAGAGAAAAAGATAAACCTAGAGACAGGGATAAAGATTATGAGAAAGTCCGAGACAAGGGCAAAGAAAAAGACAAAAGGAGGGAAAAAGGTAAAGATATAGAAACAACACGAGAAGAAAGAAAAGACAAAACAGACAAAAAGGTAATGTGTAACTTAATTGTTAATGATAATTGGAATTAGCAGACATTTTGAGCAAATTGATATAAAAATACGTGTATCTTAGGTGAAATGGGAAGTGTAAAAATTCAATAAATAATTACTCAAAAATTTAACTTATCACCAAGTATGAACTGCAGTCAAATGCATACAGATGCATTTCTAAACATTAATTTTAACAAATTCTATGGCAATTCTTTTGAAAGACAAAACAGTTGTAGATTAGCTATAGTATCTTTTTAAACATTTTTTTCTTATATATGATTCGATCATTCTCTTATGATCGAAAGTTCTAAATACACTTTCGGTTGGAGCCGTTGGAGCCGATAGACGGTCTTTCGTAAGACCGAGAGCCCCGCTGCTTGTAAAGAGCCACTTCTACGTTGAGAAGTGGCTTGGAAAGCTCCACGATCCTGAGGAATCGGGAGAAGAGCCGGCGCGACGAGGTACAGTCCCCTTTGAAGCCCCCAGACTGTTTTTTTAAGCGTCTGGGGAGTAAGCAGGGTGAGGCTCCCTTTACAGCACGCTGAGGACGTCTCTGCCTTTGCAGAGCCAGGCGACATGACCAACGAAACAAGAGAAAGCCAAGAAATTTGTTTAAAATAAGCAGGGTGGAATCTGGACTTCAAATTTAAACCACAAGTATTTTTCTTAGCCCTGTGATTCAAAGTAGTAACTGAGAAGAAGTGAAAGTACTTTTAAAATGGCGCTCGGCTTCAGCAATAAGGGAAGCTGAAAGAGAAAGTGATTGAGCCTATTTCTGCTACAAAGTAACAAAAACTAACAATGCTGGCCTGAGTAAAGAATAATTTTTTTAAAAAAGTGATTTGACTTGTTCTCTCTCCCTTGGACTGGACTAAAGCTGGGGAAATTCCTGAAAGGTTTTTGTGCTGGAGAGGGAGAGAGGATATCTTTTTTAGAAAGAGTCAGGCTGCGTGGAAAAATGGCTTCAAAACAAAAGCCAGCTAAAGCTGAAGGGGGGGGGGGCTCCTCCACTCATAAATCTAAAGAGCAGCCTCTGAGCTCACAGACACAGACTCAAACACAAGAATCTGGATTTAATGATTTGAAAGAATTTATTGCTGGTGCTCTAGATCAGAAATTTGAAAAATCACAGCAGGAATTTAAGGAGATGGTCCAAGAAAAATATGATAAGATGAAACGGGAAATACTGGCAGCTGTAACTGGTTTGTCAGAAGTAGTCCTCCAAGTTGATAAGAAAGTGGAACATCTTGGATCAGAAATGGAGTCTACAATGAAGGAAGCTGATCAAAAAATTTCTAATGTTGATAATAAAACACAAAGGCTTGAAAATGAAGTTACAGTGATGCAATTTAGATTTATGGAGTTTGCTGTGAGACTCAGAGGTATAAAAGAGAGTAACAGAGAAGATTTGAGAAGAGTTTGTGCTGATGCTCTGGCTGTTATGTTAAAGGTTGATCCTGAGGAAATTTTTTGCAAAATTGACAAGGTCTATAGAGTGAATTCTTGGGTGGCAAGACAAAGGCAATTGCCTAGAGATGTAGTGATCTACTTTACAGATAGAAGAATAAGAAATGATATTTTGCAAAAATCTTTTGTTTCTACTATTCAAGTGGATGGAAGAGAAATTGGGATCTACAAAGAATTGCCACCTAAGATGTTGAGAGATAGAAAAGATTTTGGATTCCTGGTGACTGAATTAAAGAAACAACAAATTCTATTTAGATGGGACACCCCAGTAATATTGAGGTATCAAGGAGAAAGATATCGATTAAATACTCTTCAAAAAGCAGAAGAATTTTACTTCAGTGTTTTTAAACCAGGTGCAACATCTCCACGTACCTCCTCGGTGTTAGCCATAGTAGAGGGTGAGAAGGATATGCAATTTGAACAAGAGCTGGAAGAGCAGAGGAAACAGACGGAGAGGGAGGCATTAGAGTCTCAAGGAGCGGCAGGGGGCCTACCCCTGTTGGAGTCTCCTTTAGAGCTTCCAGTTGAACCTCCTAAAAATACAAGAGAAGTGGCAGCGGAGCTCGACTTGATGTTGCATACTGCTAAAGATCAGCATATTACTTGAGCAGCTTACAGACAACTTTTAGAGAAACAACAACACCAGAGCTCTAAGTTATCACAAGATGAACAGGGAGCCAACGGTAAAACACAAAAATCCGAAGCTATGGGAGGAGCCAAGCCGAAGACTATTAGTGTGGAACAGAAACTTCAGCAAATGCTCTTATCGCTTCAAGAGCCCGCAGATGACAATTAAGTTTTTATCTTGGAATGTGAACGGATTAAACTCACCACAGAAAAGGAGGAAGATATTTCACTATTTGAGACAATTTAACAATGATGTGATTTGCTTACAGGAAACTCATATTAGAACACAAGATCAAAAATATCTGATAAACTCTAGATTAGGAACACAGTTTATAGCTTCAAATTCAGAAAAAAAGAATGGTGTAGTGATTTATACAAATAAAAGATTGCTAACAAAAATCATAGAAGCAGATGATTGTGGAAGATATATAACAATAGAACTTCTTGCAGATAATGGTCCAGTTTTGGTGATTGGAATTTATGCTCCTAATCAACAACAAGAAAATTTTTATAAATTATTGCATTCCAAAATATTACAATGGGATTACAGATCTATTTTGCTTATGGGAGATTGGAATGGAGTAATAGATTCTAAAATAGACAAGAAGAGTTTGGCAAAATCATGTACCAAACTACCACAGTCTTTTTTCGATTTGAAAGAAGATTTGGAATTGAAAGATATATGGAGAGTGCATAACCCAAAAGAACTGGACTTTACCTTTTTCTCAGATAGACATAGATCCTTTTCTAGGATTGATTTTATCTTACTTACAGTTGATTTGCTTTCAAAAACTAAGAAAACAAAGATATTTCCGAGGGCTTTATCTGACCACAGCCCAGTATGGATAGAAATAGAAATGGGAAAGACAGAGAGAAGATCTTGGAGAGTAAATGAAAATCTATTTAGATATGAAAAAAATGTAAATGAACTTAAAAAACAAATGAAGGAATTTTTTGAACTGAATTTGAATAAGGGTACCCCTATTGAAATTGTTTGGGACGCGAGCAAGGCTTATATGCGGGGGGTACTGATCCATATGAACTCTAAACATAAATTAAACCGACAAAGAAAAAGCTTAGAATTGGAAGGGGAGATAAAGAAAAAAGAGCAGTTATTTATAAAAAATCCAACAGATGAAAAATTACAAGGAGTCACAAAACTTTTGAAAGATCAATTCCATATGCTCACAGCGGAACAAGCAGCAACTAATTTACAATTTGCGAAACATAATACATTTTGTAATGCCAATAAACCGGGCAGGTGGTTGGCTTACACATTGAGGAAACAGCAGAGTACTCGGACTATTGGGAGTATTGAGCATAAAGGGAAGGAAGTATTTCAACAAAAGCTAATTAAAGAAGCCTTTTTAGATTATTATACCAAATTATATGTTAAAGATGATATACAGAATGAACTTATAAATAAATATTTAGAAGAAAAGAGAGTTATAAAAATTTCTAATGTTCAAAAGGAAAGAACGAGTTTACCAATAACAGTAGAGGAGATTATTATTGCTATTAAACAACTGAAAACAGCCAAAGCTCCAGGACCGGATGGTCTAACTGCGGTATATTATAAAAATTTACAAGTAGAAATGATTGAACATCTTAAAGACTTATTTTGTAGCATACAACAAGGGGGGAAAGTACCCCCTTCATGGAAAGCAGCTTTTGTTTCTTTGATACCGAAAAAGGAGGCAGGTTCTATAAAACCAGAAAATTTTAGACCAATATCTCTACTGAATACGGACTATAAAATTTTTGCAAAAGTATTAGCCAACAGATTAATGCCAGTTATTCAAGAGGTGATTCATCATGATCAAGCTGGATTTATAGAAGGCAGATACATGAAGGATAATGTGAGGCAAATTATAGACTTATTGGAATATCTTGAGAAGAATAAACAGTCTTCTGCAGTGCTGGCGTTTCTGGATGCGGAGAAGGCCTTTGATCGAGTGAATTGGAACTTTCTATTAAAGACTTTAAAAAAGATGGACTTTGGGGACCAGTTTGTACATGCGGTTGCAGCAATTTATCAAGAACAAACAGCACAAATTATTATCAATGGAAGTTTAACTAAAAATTTTAGTATAGAAAAAGGTACAAGACAAGGTTGTCCGTTATCCCCGTTGTTGTTTATTTTAACTTTAGAAGTCTTGTTGAATACAATTCGGGACTCTAGCACTCTGAAGGGAATAGTGATAAGGCAAGAGGACTACAGAATAAGGGCATTTGCAGATGATCTGGTTGTTACCCTAACACAGCCGATGGAATCAATAATTCAGATGAAAGACATTATAGAAGAATATGGCAGGGTATCAGGATTTAGATTGAATCAGAAAAAAACCAAGATGATAATTAAAAATATGACAGTTGATCAAAAGAAGGAACTTGAAAGGAAGGCAGGCTTTGAAATAGTATCAAAAGTGAGATATCTAGGAGTTCAAGTTGCAGATTCAAATATAAAACTGTTTCAAAATAATTATGAGGTGTTATGGCGAAAGGTACAAAAGGATATGGAAACCTGGAAAAAACTGCAGCTGTCTTTACTTGGAAGAATAGCAGCAGTTAAAATGAATGTTCTACCTAGATTTTTATTTTTGTTCCAAATGATTCCGGTGCTTAAAAGTGATAAATATTTGACTGAATGGCAAAAAGGAGTGAACAAGTTTGTCTGGAATGAGAAAAAGCCAAGAGTTAAACTGAAAATTATGCAAGATTTGTGAAAGAGGTGGTCTTAAACTTCCAAACCTGAGACTATACTATGAGGCTGCAGCGTTTACACAAGCAAGTGATTGGTTTGGAAGGACAAAGACTGGAATATTGAATATAGAAAGTCACGATCTAGAATTTGGTTGGCATGCATATTTATTTTATGAAAACAAGGTTGACAAAGTATTTAATAG